CCAACTTGCGTGTTAGCGTCATAGTGCAACATTTATCAACATTCAAATACATATTATTAACTTCACACCACTGATGTACAAGGTTCAGATCTGCTTGCAATGCTAAACTATCATCTAAGGTATTAACACATCTAAAAATCTTGAGGTCGTCAGCATACAGCAAATACTCACACCGCAAGTCACTTACTATGTCGTTAATGAATATAAGAAATAACAAAGGGCCAAGGACTGAACCCTGGGGTACGCCTGACGTAGCCAACACCGGATATGATTTGTAACCACGATAATCTACACGTAAATGTCTGTTATTAATGTATGACTGGAAAAAATCAAGAAATCTAGACGTTAAACCAATTTTTGACAACTTCTGTATCAAAATACCGTGATCTAAACGGTCGAAAGCTTTTGAAAAATCGGTATAGACTACATCAACCTGCCCTCCTTTGTCCAAAACTTCCGCAGCGTATTGCTTGAAACATGCTAAATTACTACATGTTGATCTACCTTTATAAAAACCATGTTGACCAGTACAGATGGTACGACTTACATGAGAAAACACGACCTCAAAAAGTACAAACTCAAAAACTTTCGCCAAATTGCTCAAGATAACAATCGCTCTATAGTTCTCAATATGTGACCTATCGCCTTTCTTAAAAACTGGAGTAATTTTCGACATTTTCCATTTGTCAGGAAAGGTTGCAGTTTTTAAAGACAAATTAAAAAGGTATGCTAAGGGCTGAGCAAGTACCGAAGCACAATCCTTAAGAAAGAAAGACGGTATGGAATCTGGACCTGTGGAGCATTTAGGTTTCAACTTATTCAGAGCATTTCGTACATGCTTCTCATGAACTGTTATAATAGATAGGCAAGAACTATCGTTCACTGAGGCAGAGTCAGATAAATATTCCGAGGAGGAAATATAAGTAGATTGGAAATATGCTGCAAAGGCGTTCACTATTTGCTCAGGATTTTTCAACTCAGTATTTTCAGAAAACATGTTGCTAGGAATATTGGCGAAATTTTTGCGATGATTTACGAAGGACCAAAAGTTATTAGGGTTGTGAGCCAAAGCGCGCTCGGTTCTTTCAACAAAATTTGAATAAGCCATGTCAATATCGATTTTTATTGTTCTTCGTAAACTGCTAAATAATTCATAATCTGACAAATTACTTGTTCGCTTGTATCGTTTCCAGAGACGATGCTTTTTTCCGATTTTTGAGATAATAGAGCGAGAAAACCATGGAGGATATTTGTTATCTTTCGGCAATGTGTAAGGAACATGTCTATCAAATGCAACATACAATCGTTTATAAAAAAGATCGCAGGCAATATTAATATCCGTAATATGTAACGGGAGAGTTAAATCTAAATTCATGATGCTATTATAAAGGGCCGGGATATTTGCTTTTTTAAAATTATACTGCGGAATACTGTTTGTATGGAAATTTTTCATGCGACAGGGAAAAGACACACGTACTTCTAGAGGAGGATGATAGGCATCGATAGGCAGTAAAATATCGGATGCAGCACTCACCTGTGCAAAATTATTACAATACACTAAGTCCAGGATGCGATCATATGCATTACGTATATGATTGTATTGAACTAAATTGAAGAAGTGGCTCATATTTTTGACAACCGAAATGTAATTGTTATAGTAAGTACTATCAATGAGGTAATTTATATATGTAGGGATATTGAAATCCCCCAGAAAAAGAATAGTATCATTAAGCTTGAAACAATCTAATGTAAGGATGTCTTCAAAAAAAGTTTCATAAGTCTCCACAGTAAGATTTGGAGGAATATAAACAAGGAGGAAGTAAACTGTACAGCGAATGAGTTCAATTCTAATCCCAACAACATCAATTTCCGAGACTGAACATTGAAAATCAATTGCAACTCCTTTATATTTTTTATGTATCGCTAATAAAACTCCACCTCCCTTAGTCTGGCCAGTTTGTACATATTTCCTATCTGATCTGAAAACACTAAATTCGCTACTCATAAACTCGCTATTATGGATGCTATCATCAATCCAAGTCTCAGTCAAAGCAATTAGATCATAAGGACAAGTATAGGACGCATTGAATAAAGTGTGCAATTTGGTTTTTAATCCTCTAACATTCTGATAATAAATACAGAAGTCTGTTCGATCATATTGAGCAATATCTTCATTATGCTCCATTCCAGAATCTAAATTTACACAGGATAGTTGCTATATGTCACCTGTTATAGATTTTTTGTATTCATTTAATTTATTTTTGTATACTGTACATTGATTTGTATCCCAGGCAGCGTGATCTGTTTTTGAATGACGGGCGTTTACACAATTAATACATTTCAGATTGACAGATCGACAATCAGACACTTTATGATCCAAAGAGCATTTTACACAGGTTTGACTACTACTTCTACAATTTTTTGCATAATGATTCAGCCCACAGCATTTGAAGCACAATTTTAAATTGATTGCGTCATAAACCGCACAACTATCATAATTGACAAGGACCTTACCTTGATTGAGAACATTAGCATAAGTAGTACAATCTACATCTAAAATAGCTTGATAAACAGTAGCTGATTTTTTTGTTGGCCAAACTTTTAAAACACTACACTCACTTTCAGCATGAAACGCATTATTTTGAGATTTCAGCATTGTACACAACTCCTCTTTTTCGATACACTGAGACATTCCAACAATTTTTAAGCGCGGGTTGAACTTCCTCACCTCCTTCACCTCATAATCAGCAGAAAGGTGCCGCGACGCCAAATCCTTCAGTTTATTGGCATCATCCGAACCATCACATTTGATCAGTATTCCACCGTTTTTTATATTTTTCACCTGAGAAAATCTTATATTGTTATCTACAGGGTCAACAGACTGACTAATTCTAAGCCTCGTAGCAGAATGAGACTGATCATTGTTTTTTGGCGTAACAATCACGTTCACAGTCTTTTTCAAGGTATTTGCATATGAGGCACTTGGACCCGGGACCCTTTGTGAGACAGTCTGTTCCAAAGTTTCATCAACCTTATTTATCAGATGACCTTTAGCCTCGGAGAAAATATTATAAACATCAGCAATAAGTGTATCTACTTTATCATCAATTTTGATAAATACTCGATCAAAATCTTTTTTCTGCTGAGAGCATGTAGGACAGTACCAGAATAAACCAGGTGTTTTTATTACTTTCAATACATCTGATGGAATTCCCACACAAGAAATGTGAAAAGACTGTTCACAAAAACCATCGCACGGTATACCTGGCTTCGAGCGATTTACCAATGAATGGCAACTAGCACAGTTTGTAGCCATGACTGCTGGATTAAGTGCAGCTCACTGCATCAAAGTATAATTCACAGCAACTGCACATTACGACCACCACACACGTATAAATTGGTGCAGAAACGACCAGTTTTAGCCACAGAAAAATACGAAAAAGTCAGAGCGAAAACAAACACGTCTGAATGCCTAGAACGCGAAAATACTACTCAAGGTAGAGGGTAAATTTCTTCAAAAGAGGTATTGAGATCTGTTGTGTTGCAATTTTTGTATTGTTCAGTACCATCACTGTGAACTGGTGGCTCAGTAGTATCGTCTTTAGGCTCAGGAGTCGTTTCACGTAGACTTTCTGCCTCTGAGCCCTCACTTGCTTTTTCTGAACCATTTTCAAGCAAGGCATAGCAGCGATAAAATCTGTCTCAGAAAAAACACTGCGGTCAACCGGCCATATTCCAGTTATTTTGAAACCATTCATGATAGTGCATATTGATGCTGTTTTTGCATAGGCATCAGAGAGCAATCCAGTCATGTTTGTATTGAGAAATAGTGTTACCAGGATTGCTTCTTAAAAATGTTTCTAGACCTTGAGAAAAATAGGATTCCATAGGCTTAAAAAAGCTACGTCTAAAGCTGGCTACACACGATCCGGCAGGCCTGTCAGTTCGAACTGAACAGTCCGCCTGAAGACCAGTCGCCTGATGGACTGACCACCATCCACACGTTCAGGCGAATATGAAATATCAGTCTCAATCATCATATTATGGCCTCTACTGACGACGACGCGTTAGCACTTCTCCGCTTAGTAGTTGCTTTGGGTAAAAAGAAATCCAAAAAAAAAACGTACGCTATGATGTAAAGATTGGTTGAAAAAAAGGAGCGTTTTTTCTCATGTGAATTTGCTGAATGACCTGAAGTTAGCTCCCAAGGATTGGCACAATTATCTACGTATGGATGAAGATACATATCTGCAACTTTTATCATTGGCAGCACCTTTGATAGAAAGAAAAGACACTGTAATGAGAGAAGCAATCCCAGCACACGAAAGGCTGACGGCAACTTTGAGGTTTCTAGCTACTGGAAGAACCTATGAGGACCTCAAGTTTTCCACTATTATATCACCTCAAGCTCCAAGTTGCATTATTCCTGAAACTTGTGAAGCAATATGGGAAGTTTTACGCAAGGATTTTATGAAGGTAAGAAAATATTTTTTTGAATATTAAACATACAGATAAACAAAAACATTAAATTTCTTGAATATTAAACATATGAACAAAAACATTATATTTCTTCCATAAAAAATACAAACACAAGTTTAGTTATCAGTTGTTATCAGCATAAGTAAATGAAGCTAAAAGAGAACCAGCAGGCTGGTACTGGCGAGGTGATGCCGACGGTTTTCTTTCTTGAACACTTTCTGTCTGGGGAAAAAACATGTTATTCTGGGCGTGCTGTTCAATTGAAGCTTCGGAGTTCTGGAGTAGCAACTGCTGCGATGGTGCTAATATTGCGGATGATTGAGAACTTGGGCGACTAGGATTGGAACTAGATGAATGGTTCGAATAATATTCATTTGACGAAGGGGAGTTCAGTAGTAGCAACTGCTGCGGTGGTGCTGGTGTTGCGGAGAGTTGAAAGCTTGGCCGGCTAGAATAGGTGCTGGATGAATGATAACGATTAGACAAAGGTGGCTGATAAGCCAGTTTATGATGTGGTGTTAATGTTCCACCCTCAGCTTCAAAAAGTACGTCAATAATAAATTTCTCTGCAAGGCGTCTCTGATCGTTGGTTAAATCTCTGAGCTTCATATCAACGTTTTTACCAACAATGTCAAACCGGTCATCCGCTGTGCGTGGCCGTTTGAAGTGGTTATTGACGGTTGCTAGTACTTCTTTTGTTGTGTTTGGTCATCTGGTTTTTGAGATTTTGGTGACGGTCTATGGCGAAACTGCGAACCTGAAGCCACACTTGAAGTTTTTTCAGTGGAATCTTGGGTTTCAGTTTGAGGGCTGTGTGCATCTGTGTTTAAAGTTTCGGCCTGTGATTCATCCTGTAACAATAGATTTGTTTGAACAGTTTTGTTAATTTCTTTGTGTGGAAATATCTATGGTTTTCATCACTGTATTACTTAATCGTATTTCATAAATTCGAAGCATGAAAAAAATTAAAAAATACACAATTTATTTATTTTTAATGCATATTTTTATCATGCATAATGCATCATATTATCTTTTTTTTCAGTTTCCACGACTAGAACAAGACTGGATAAACATTTCTCAGAGCTTTGACGAACTCTGGAACTTTCCTCATTGCCTTGGGGCTTTTGACGGCAAGCATGTGAGCATCGTCCTCCATCTGGAAGCGGATCGTACTATTATAATTATAAAGGTTTTCATAGCATGGTGCTATTAGCCTTAGTTGATGCAAACTATCGTATTTTAATGTGCGATTTCGGAACAAATGGCAGGGTGTCTGATGGTGGTGTATTACAGAATACCAAATTTTTGGAAAAACTACAAAACAATCTCCTGAAAATTCCTGGAGAAGAAACCATACGGAATACTTACAGAAGCCTACCGTATGTATTTATAGGAGATGATGCATTTCCATTGAGGGTAGACCTAATGAAACCTTTTCGACAGGCAGCCTTGACTTCTAGGGAGAAAAAAAATTACAAGTACCGTTTATCACGAGCAAGACGTATTTCACACTTGCATTAATTTGGAACCGCGAAATATTGAATTCGTTGTAATGGCTTGCAGCATGTTACATAACTTTTTGATAGCTAAGTCGTCAAGAACATACAGTAAGTGTAGAAAGTATTCGTACACTTGGATTTCTAAGCGAAAGACTGCAATGTCTCTCTAATTATTGTTGCTAGACATCTGCAAAAAAATAGACATCTACATCAAAGTATTCTTTATTCAATCTGGTCAATCATTCGAAAACAAAACAAAATAGTCTCTAAAGGAAATAACAACTCACAAAAATCTACCAAGAAGGCGAAAAAAAAGTATTCGTACACATGTGATTTTTCGTCATAAATTGTCAGTCTTGCACATGGTACATGAACATCACAACAATTTAGTACTTGGTTGGGTACCCCTTTCCTTTCAAAACACTCTCATACCGTTTTGGCACGGAGTCTATCAGCCTAGACGTCAGTGAAGGGGGTATGCGGTTCCACTCGGTCAGTAAAGCAGTTTCAGATCCCCTCTGTTAGAGATCTGCCAATTTTCCCTTATTTTTGTCTCTAGGTAACTCCATAAATGTTCTAAGGGGTTCAAGTCCGGTGATTGGGTGGGGTATTCGGCTGCTTGGGGGTGTTGTACAGCAGCCACATCTTCGTATTTGTTGCGGTATGTTTTGGGTCGTTGTCTTGCTGAAAGATATAGTCATTTCCTAAACCCATTTTAATCGCACTTTCTTTCAAATTTTGCTTCAATAGCTCTATATACTTCTTGTGGTCCATGATGCCATCGATGAAAGCTAAATTCCCACCCCAGAAGCACTCATGCAACCCCATACTAAAACAGATCCACCACCGTGTTTTACAGTGGCACACAAATTCTCGGGAGAAAGATCTGTATTTTTCTTGCGCCACACTTTTTTGTTACCATCTGAACCAAAAATGTTATATTTACTCTCATTTGAGTAAATAGTCTTATTTCTGAACTCTGCAGTGTCATTTAGGTGCCCCTTGCAGAAGGCGATACGCTTGGCTCTGTTGACTTTGCTCACCCACGGCTTCTTCCGGGGCGTGCACCCGCGATACCCCTCGCTCGTCAACATGTTGCGCACTGTCGCGATGGACACCTTGGCCCCCCTCTGTGACAGGTGAGGAGCAAAAATTCAAAAGGAGTAATATCCATTTTTGTATATTAAGAGAAAACCGAAGATTTCTGCCAACTCTAAAAAAAATGCGAGCGCTGGAATTTCTCTTCACAAACTCAAATGTTATGATCAGTTAAGTAAAAAACTATTTACAATGGAAATACTAATTTTAGCTTAGAGCTGTTATTGTTAAAAACAATTGGATAATGATCTTTTTGGTGCAAGCATGTGGATAAAAACCTATTTGAACAAAATATAATGGGATATTATCCCATTTGAATCTAACTAAGTAGAACTACTTGGAATAAGAATAATGATCATTGTTTGATTCAAAAATGTATTACAAAAATCACAGAAATGTATGTCATATGGCTACTCCACCATCCTCTTCGTTGCAGTCACAATCGAAGCCATCATCCGAATCGGATTCAGGTATTGTTGTACCCACATTGCACTCTGCCAAAAAGTCTTTAAAGAAAGCCAGCCGCTCATCATGTTGCCAATTTTCATCGTACAGGAATAACAATGTTTTCAGATTTTTCAACTTATCTTCTTTTACTTTATTCTTTAATTCCTTTTTATTTAATTTAATTGCTTTTAAATGTCTCCCTCTTTTTGCAATTGATTCAAATTGTTTCGACGTATCATCAATCCTAAAGTTTAGTTCCATTTTAACTTTCACGACACCTTTATTGTCCTTATTAAAAATGATCCGTTTCATGTCCTTTATTCCAACTAACTTTTTTAGGTCTTTATCCAATGCCTTGTAGTCTTCAATAAACCAATCTTGGCCAAGAATTTTAACCGTACCAAATTCACTAAAAATTTCTCTGTATTCTTGGTCATTCATGATAACTTCAAAGGTCCTAAGACGTTTCTCTAATCTTCCGAACACCCTATCTGCTGGTAAAAATGAGTGACCTCTAACTGGGAAAGTGATTCTAATTTCTTGGAGGGAAGTAGGTGCTGCAGTCGTAAACCAAACGGCCAATGCGTACATTACATACGAATTCTTGTTTTGGCCTGCACAACCATCCGAAAACAATCTTAAGACTTGGCAATCTGGCAAGACATTCGAAGTGAGAAAATTAATCAAAGCAGAAGCTACTTCATTGGCCCCTCTCTTACCTTGGGTTTTGTTCCATGTATAAAAAAATGGTTGTTTGGTGCCGTAATCAGTGATGCAAATATTATAAAATGACAGCTGTCGTAAGTAATAAGCCTCTCCTATGGGCAACTTTGGAATATTTTGCACCTGTTGCATATCGAAACAAAAAACTTGACTATTTGGTTCCTCCCGTTTCATTAAAATGTTGAACTGCTTGGCCCTCAATTTATGAATACGTAATTCCGTCATGACTTTCATTTTCTCAGCACCCTTGGAATCCGCAAGCTGCTTTTTTTTCCGGAAACAAAAACTGCAGACGTCAGATGCAGGGCGACCAAATCCAATATTAAAATTATTCCGGAAAATATTGTAGAAGAAACTTAATTTGACCTTCATATTGTCAGTTGTAGTCGAGTTGTACATTTTCCAGAGTCTGGTTATGTTTAGGTCTGCCGGTAGATACAGCCTTTTTGATTTCTTTCTATTATAGTGGCTCTCCCTTGCCTTCAGTTTTCCAATAAATTTAATTACACTGTCTCTCTTTAACTGATTTTTTGCTGAACGGTGGTCCCCTCCTCTATTTTCCTGGATATCTCTGCCTGACATGATATACCTAGTAATTGTATGCAGTCTCTTTAAAGAAATACTGAAGGAATTTACAAGCATTTTCTGACACACTCTGTATGTAGGACCGTTCATCGTATTCATCCTGTATTCTGCTGATAAGGCATGCTTCTGATCCCTACAGTTTGGTTTATATTTTTCGCGTCGCCTTCTAGGTATATGAACCTTACAAAAGTACGAAATTTGGCGGTCCTGTTTCACCTTGTCATTAGTATGGAAAACACGTTTTCTAGTTGCAATAATATCCCCTTCGGCAATTTTCATGCAATTATATGTAGGCCCATTGTGTGTACAAGGTCTCTCGAAGTTTTCGATATTTGGAAAATGATCCTGATATCTGAAATAATGAAACAAATACGTAAAGAGTATCCTAACCTCACTTTCGTAGCTTACCTTAAGCTCTTAGCTTTCTGTCGTTTACTTATAGTTCGCCCTCTCTTTCGACTACCCTCATTGCCCTCACTAACTAGGACTTCTTCAGAATCCATTATGTTAAGCATAAACAACGATTTGTACGCCTACGAGCTCATGAAACTACTTAGTAAACAATGCTCGGAGCAACGCGTGTATGGATAAAAACCTTTTTGGACCATTTTCGTACGTTTCATGCTATTCATACAGGATAAAGATCCATGTGAACCAAACGTAAATAAATCCCCCTTTGAAAATATAATTTTGAGGATAATATTCTTTTTGATTCAACATACGTATTTCGACAGCTAATTCACAAGGGAGAAACATCACTTTGGAATGATACGAACGCTGCACTATAAAGATGTACATTCAATACACGTAACGCCATCTGTATCTCAAAATGAATTTTTTTGGATAATATCCCTTTTGAATTTTTGCTCCTCAGGTCAGCTACAATCTTCGGCGCACTCACTTTTGGGTTCTTTTTGATTGTCCGTACAATCACTCTCTTGTCCTGCTCGCTCAAAACTTTGGGTCGCCCACTCCTGGCCTTGTTTACCAACGTTTTGGTTTCACAGTACCGATCAATTACTGTTTGTACAGTCGACCGGGGTTGTCCCACTAACTTTGATATAGCACCTATCGACTTGCACTGGTTATGGAGCCTTAAAATTAACTTTCGCTCCTCTAAACACGTTTCTTTGCATTTGCGGCCCATGTTTACAGCACAGAATCTGAAACTGAGCAACCTAGGGAGTAGTATCGTCTACCGAATGAGCGAGGTCGCCCTGCGTTCGGATTGTGCGGCTGACTAGCGAGTTTTTCGGCATTATTACGACTGTACGAATACTTTTTTTGCGCCCACCAGGCACATTCTTGTGACTTTTTATTATTTTTATAGTCTATTCTGTTTTGTTTTTGGATCCCATCGATAAAAGTGAATCAAGCAGAATCTAATGTACATATCTATTTTCTTTCGGATGTCTAACACCAATAAATTAGGCGAGATATGGTATTTTTCGTTATGGAAACCAGGTGTACGAATACTTTTTACACTCACTGAATACTCCTCCAGAGTGCTTTGACTATGATGATACGGAAGAAGGTGTGACACATTTTGGATTGAATTCACAAGGTTCTAATATGTCTAGCTTGCAACGAAGACCATTTGGAAATACAGCGAATGCAGCAAAAGAAGTTACGGAGGCCTTTATGAGTTATTTTACGAATGAAGGTAAAGTTTCTTGGCAAGATAGATTCATCCAATAAAAACTTACCTACAAATAATACTATTGTATAGGGTGGTCCAAATTGGTCGCTCTCTTATGGGAACACCCCTTATTGAAAGAAATCGACTAAATTTTAAGAACGTCCCCTGGCAACAAAACGATTACAAATTGCAAAATTTTGTTTGCGCCAATGACTTTTTTTGACCAATTTGGACCACCCTAAAAATACACAAGTTACCTACAAATAGGTACCTATTTACATTATGAAAAATGTGTGTTTATTAAATAAATAAACAAACAAATTATCTACTGAATGTTTCTGTCACTTACCTCATATTCGCTCTCTTGGTCATCCGAGATATTGCTTCGAGAGACTTCTTGGTCTTCTTGGGATGGTAAACTTCAGCGGCCCCTGATCCCATCCTCATTGAATCCTTCACTTTTTTGCTTCCTTTCG